AAGTGGCTTGTCCTGGAACTCTCTCCCCACTCAGCTTCCATGCCTCTGTGGGCTCACCTTTCCTCTTAACTCCTCCTCTTCTCTCCTGCCAATTTTTTACTTGCAATAAAGAAAACACGTCTACTAAAAATATTCAATCAATAACACAAAACAACATGTACAAATCAATCTTACTGCTTGCAATTTTTCAGATGCTAATTGGGTTGCTTCTGGTGTAAAATGTTCTCTTAGTAGAAATCCCTGTTTCTTCAGTTTGTCCATGTAAATTTCATAGTATTCGCTTGCATCTGCAGAGGTTTTCTTTACAGCAAACTCTCTTCTAGTCTGCGAATTACAGTACACAGCAAAGGAACAGTAACTTATTAACGTAGCCATCTTTATCAAACACCTACTATGTACTAAACGTGAATAAGGCATTAGATCCCTGCCATGAAGTTTAGAAACTAGTCTTTTTCTTTTCTTTCTTTTTTTGTCCTTTTTGAGACCAGCCGCACCACGCTCAGCCAGTGAGCGCTGTGAGCGCACCGGTCATCCCTACATAGGATCCGAACCCGCGGCGGGAGTGCTGCCGCGCTCCCAGCGCCGCACCCTCCCAAGTGCGCCACGGGCTCGGCCCAGAAACTAGTCTTTTTCAAAGAAAGAATATTTAAATCTTCAATTCTTCGCAAAACAGCTGAAACCTGGAACAGGGTAAGCCCAAGCAAGCACAGCAGACAGTGAAGACCTTTTGATTCAGCATGGAGCCACTTGAGTGTCCACTCACAACCTACAGACTCTTACTTTGCACACTGTCCTAGTTAGCTTTGAAGGCTGGCTTTCCAGCTTTCTGGCAGTGAGAAAAATAAATTGAGGGAGGGGAAGAAAAGAAAAATACCTGAGAAAGGATGTATTGTTCGAGACAGGCACACAGTCAAAACGAAATGCTGGCTTCCAGCACAGAGAAAAGCAGGAAAACTATTAGGTTGTGCAAACAATGTTAAAGGCCCAGGCGTAATAACTTCGTATAGCATACATTATACGAAGTTATACGAAAATGGATAAATTTCTGGACACACGCAAGCTCCCAAAACTGAGCCATGAAGACGTAGAAAATCTGAACAGACCAATAACAATAAAGGAGATTGAAACTGTTATCAGAAAACTCCCAACAAAGAAAAGCCCAGGACCAGATGGATTCACAGCAGAATTTTACCAAATATTCAAAGAGGAATTGACACCGATTCTTCACAAACTATTCCAAAAGATTGAAACAGAGGCAAATCTCCCAAACTCATTCTATGAAGCAAACTTCATCCTGATACCAAAACCAGGTAAAGATATAACCAAAAAGACAACTACTGGCTGATATCCTTGATGAATGTAGATGCAAAAATCCTCACTAAAATACTAGCAAACAGAATACAGCAACACATATGTAAAATTATTCACCACGACTAAGTGGGATTCATTCCAGGGATGCAAGGTTGGTTCAACATACACAAATCAATAAATGTGATACACCATATTAGTAAAATCAAACACAATGACCATATGATCATCTCTATAGATGCGGAAAAAGCATTTCATAAAATTCAACACTCATTCATGACAAAGACCCTCTATAAGTTAGGTATGGACAGAAACTATCTCAACATAATTAAAGCCATATATGATAAACCTACTGCCAATATCATCCTGAATGGGGAAAAGCTGAAAGCTTTTCCTTTAAGAACAGGAACTAGACAAGGATGCCCACTCTCACCACTCTCATTCAACATAGTGTTGGAAGTACTAGCCAGAGCAATCAGAGAAGAAAAGGAAATAAAGGGCATCCAGATTGGAAAAGATGAAGTCAAACTGTCCCTGTTTGCCGATGACATGATCCTATACATCGAACAGCCTAAAGCCTCTTCAAAAAAACTCTTGGAGGTGATAAAGGATTTCAGCACAGTAGCAGGATACAAAATCAACACACAAAAATCAGTAGCATTTCTATTCTCCAATAGTGAACATGCAGAAAGAGAAATCAAGAAAGCCTGCCCATTTACAATAGCCACCAAAAAAATAAAATAC